ACCTCGCTGTCGCCCGCCGCACAAGCGAGGTGCAGCGCAGTGCTTCCGGCGTGCTCCGCGGCGCTCGGGTCGGCCCGCGCGCGGAGCAGCGCCAGAGCCGCCGCCGAGCCGCCCGGGCCACCGGCGCGGATCGCAGCGTGCAGCGGCGTGCGCCCCGACAGGTCTGCGCGCCGCACTGCTGCGGCGGCAGCCGCCGCCGCCGTGTCGAGGATCGCCTGGAGGACGGCAGATATGGGCAGATACGGGGAGATATGGGGAGATATGGGGAGATATGGGGAGATGTCGAGGATCGCCTGGAGGACGGAGGCGCCACCGGACCCGGTGCCGGCGACGGCGGCGAGGTGGAGAGGGGTCTGGCCGTCACCGTCGACCGCGCACAGGTCGGCTCCCGCGTCGAGCAGCGCCGCCGCCGCCGCCGCCGCGAACGAGGCCGCCGCCTCGAGACCCGCGACGGCAGCGGCGAGGTGCAGCGCCGTCCGGCCAAAGTACTTGCGCTCGACCGACGCGCCGGAGGAGAGGAGGAGGCGGAGGCAGCGCAGCTGCCCCTCGCCCTCCGCCCACCCGGAGCCCCACTCGGCCGCCGCGCCGCCGCTCCCGCCGCCGCTCCCGCCGCCGCCGCCATCCGCAGCGGCAGCGGTGCCGCCTGCCGCGGCGTCGTCCGCCGCCACCGCCGCAGCGAGCTCCTCGTCAGAGTCGTCCGGGAGGTCGGAGTCGCCGCTGCCGAGGAGGAGCTGCACGCGCCGCACCGAGTCCGGCGCCCACGGGTCCTTTGGACCCGCAGCCTTGACCGTGGCCGCGATGGCGGCGGAGGAGATGGCGGCGTGCAGCGGCGTCGCGCCCGTCGAATCGGGACGGTTGACGCGCTCGATAAAGTGGTCGGCCGACGGGCCCTCCAGGCCGCGGCCGCTCTCCAGCACCCGCTCCAGCTCCGCGTCGTCTCCGCGGTTGACGAGCGGGTGCAGCCGCACGAAACGCCACGCCGGCAAGTCGGCGGCGGCCGCGTCGTCGTCGTCGTCGCTGTCGCCGTCGCCGTCGCCGTCGCCGTCGGCAACGTAGCTCTCGTCGTCGTCGTCGTCGTCGTCGTCGTCCATGTCCCCGTTGAGGAGGTCCGCGAGCGACATATATGTGTGTGTCTCGACTGATGTGTTGGCGCCGCTCGACAACACGCCCCGATCGACAAAGATACCTAGGTAAGCACCGCCCGCACATGCAACGTGGTCTTTCGCGAGGTGCTCACCTCTCGCGTGTGTTGTTTAAAAAAGAATTCCAGTGCCAAAACCCTGTAGCAGATCAAAACCGCGGCATGGTACTTCGATTTGGTCGATTTGGCGTCCCCCCCGACCGCGCCCGCCCCTGCCTCCCGGGGGCCCGGCCGACCATGCCAGCCGGCGCCAGGCCGGCCGGCGGGCCCAACCCGAAGCGCCCGGCCGCTCGGCGGCTCCGTTCGGCCGACGGGGCCAGCCGTGCGGCGCCCGGTCGCCCGCCGCACGCAGGACCGAGCCCAACCGGCCCACGCGCACGGCCTGGCCTCGACCGCCACTCTCTGCGGCGGAATCGGCACCGTCGGCGCCCTCTGGATCATTCTGGCACTCCTCGGCTTCCTCCCGACGGTCGGCGGCACCAACCCCGTGCGCTTTGAGTCAGATTCGATCCTCGGCATGCGCATTCAGAGCCACTGGTTGCCCACAACTGGACAGTACCTTGCGTATCAGCGGGACACGTACACGAATGTGACCGGCCGGGATCTGCAGCTCGAGGCGGGACGCACGACTTCCCTCTTCAAAACCATGACCGAGACACTCGACCTCGCCCGTACCAACATCGCGAGCGGCGTCAAGGAGGACGATTTGAAGCCGATCCAAAGACCTGCTAAACGGACCGTAGTCCGACGGACGTCGCCCAGACGTACATGCACGACCCGGCCATGACGAACACGACCGCCCTCACCAAGGGAACGAGCTACCTCAGCTGAGGAAATATGTCTTGAAGGCAACAGAACACTCGGGCCGCTTCGTTCTCAACGACAGCGCTCGCACAAGGCCGTCCTCATGGCGGAGGTGCGATGACGTATTAGACTACATTTGGAAGCAGAAAATGTTGCTGCAGGACAAGACTTCAAAGATCGAGAAGCTGCAACAACTACACAGTGAAAGGCAACGTATGGAGCTACTGATTGGAGCAGCTTTGGTATGCGTCTTCCTCCTCTCTTTCCTGAAAGCGTTGCGGGATTGGCTTCTGCCGCGGATCCATGGCGAGGTGCAAGGCGTGCCTGTCAGAGCAATCAGAGGGGTGGCCGTTCCCGCAGTACGACTGGTTCGAGTTCCAGTTGTTGTCGACGCCGAGACGGTTGACAACTTCACACGCGGCTTGCCTTCTCCGAAGTCTTACGGAGAGAGAGTTGAGAGAGAGATTTTTAGGAGGCCAATGGTCTACAATTCACAACGCTTCCAATATTGTGTACCAGAGAGATAGGTGTGAGAGCTGTGGGAGCGGCCTCTTCAACTGAGCCAGTTGGTTAGAGGCGTGTGTGTGTGTGTGAGTGGTTGCTACTTTCAAAACGATCGGCGTCGTGTTGCTCCTAACACTACAAGTACCCGTCGCAAAACACTTAGCAACATTGCCGTTTGCGTCGCTGGCACCAGACGCGTCAAGCCCTGGAGGGCGGGGCCCGGCGCCACATGGCGCCGGCCAAACCGTCTAGTACACTGAAAAAGAGAAGACGGGTCTCCCTAGTACCGTAAGTTGGTGACAAACTTGAGGGACGCCCGTCGGGGGGGGGAGCACACGGGTGCACAACAGGTGGCTAACCTCGAAATCTGCACCTTGGATGGCTGCGCGCCCTGTTTCGCAGCCATCCGTGCTAAGGATGGCTGGCACGCCTAGATCTCAGCCATGCACTCCTACCGGATGGCTGAGAACTAGGCATGCCAGCCATCCTTAATTCACATGGTTGCAATTAAAGCATCCTGGCCACTCCGCCCTCCCAGCACGCGCCATTTTGGCTGCCTTCCAGCCAAGTGTCGCCGTTATCGGGGCACGCTATCCTGCGCAGTCAGGGCAAGCGGGGGCGAGGCGCAGTCCCTCTGGTCTATACTGGTGTGGTTCTGTCCCCTGTCTCGGAGGGGGGCAAAAAGATAAGAATGTCTAAATTTTTCATCTCAGTCTGGCGACCTTCCTCCGGCTTCTCACCGGCAGTCTCTCACTACCACGGGCACACTGACACAGGGGTGGCAGGGGCGGCGGCATGAGTCTCCCACATACTATGCGGGCCTCACTAGAGGTGCGGCCTGCGCGTGTCCTCGCCCTTGGGAAGGTCTTGAGGGGGGAGGGGAAGGGGCTGTGTGTCTGTGCATGCATGCATGCATGCATGTGTGTGTGTGTGTGTGTGTGTGTGTGTGTGTGTGTGTGTGTGTGTGTGTGTGTGTGTGTGTGTGTGTGTGTGTGTGTGTGTGTGTGTGTGTGTGTGTGTGTGTGTGTGTGCGTGCGTGTGCGAGCCGCCCTGAACGCCACGAGCGCGCCGCGAGCGCCGTAGCGCCGCAACCGCCCAAGTGTGAGTGAGTGAGTATTCTTGATACGAAACCACGACGACACACACCAGTCGACTCGCATCGGTTGCCTCCATGAACGGCGGAGCTATTCTCGCGTCCACACCACACCTGGCTCCAACGTGGACACGCCCATAGCTGGGGACACTACTAGGTCACGCATGGCATCAGAAGTTTTAAAAAATTGCTTTAATTAACCCACAATACTCGGCGCTGTGCTTCCCCCCCCCCCCCCCCCTGTCCTCTCCGGACTAGACATGTGCACTACATTGCCTGGGGTTGGGGTGGTGGGGCTCTGTCGGGGCATGGTGGCTGGTTGTGGTGGCTATGAGTTGCGGGTGTGGGTCGCCAGCTCTCGCCAGCCTTCTGCAGGCATCCTAAGTTCGGCAGCTCAGCCTCCTCTGTGCCAGGGATCGCGCGGGGCGCAGCACGCCCTGTGTCGTCTGCGCGAGATCCTAGTCCCTGGTTCACCGAGGCGCCCCCTACAGGGAGTCAGCTCAGCCGCGTTCCTTGTAGTGTGATGCCTTTAAGCACTTTAGGTAGTCGGTGTGCCGGCTCGTGAGGCCTTGACAAACCTAATTTCTCGTGCGCGAGTCGTCGCTTCTTCCGTGGTGAGGTGGTCGAGTCCCACTCTCTTTAGTTCGTCATTCACTCGTCTGCTCAGGAGTCTGCCATAGTAGTCAATGTCCCCATGGGTTCTACTTTGCTGCTGATTTCTTTTATGGTCGAGAGTCGCTGACTCGGTCGCTCTTGCGTCTTATTCGTCGGAGCCTTATTTTGGCCTCTCCCGAGTACGCTTGCATGTTTCTCACTAATAGATTTAAGACCGCCTTCCAGGTATGTTCGGGTTTGATGTCCTCCTCTTCGTAGAAGGAGACTATTATCTGATTCCACATGTGCAGATGAAGTGCGTTGTGAACCTCAGGCGTGTCCGCTGAGGTGCCGATGACAGTGAGTAATCTCGGAGGTTGTATGTTTAGTGACTCTCCCTGTGCAAATACAGCTCGGACGACTGGGCATACGTCAAGGTGTCGCAGCGTTTCGGAGGTCTTGTGGCAGAGCCTGCATCTCGTGTGTGTTGTTGTGTCTAGTCCCCATACGCCTTGAGCTGTCTCCGAAGGACCAGCTTCCTGTGGAGGATATGTCGGCAGTAGCATTGCTCTTGTAGCGTGAATCCACTCTTGGGGGTGGACTACTTTGTTGCTTGTCTCGACTTTGTGGCGGAATCTTGACGAGCTGTCGTGCGGTCGGTCGGGTCGCTGTACTCGTGCCCTTGACTCTCTTCCTCCCTCTCTTATCCACCCTGGGTTTTGTTGGAGGTCCTTCTCCCAGTTTTTGAGGATCTTGGGTTGGGTCATACTCTTTCTGCTCAGATATTTTGTGAGGTCGCCGACGCTTATCTTATCAAGTGGTTTGTCGATCCCGTCGAATGTGTATGTCTCAGGGTGTGGCCAAGCCACCTCCTCGCTCTCTTTGTAGCCTTGTCCCCACTGTAGGGCTGGTAGTGGGTTGTGTCTGAGGAATCCGTCCTTAAGTTATTTTCGTTCCTGGGTGGACTGTTCCTTTGGCGTCTTGTTCGGCTAGCCAGTATTCCTCGTACCATTCCTTCTTCACAGTAGGGTGATAAGAAACAAGAATTTTACAACAAAACTCCCTCGCACGACACTAGGCACGGGACTGGCGCGCACTGGCACTAACACAGGTACACCACGGGAGCCGCCTAAGCGACTCCCGCGAGGACGGCGAGGCACTTAGCTCAACTCTCTCTTAGCTCAGAAACAAGAACCTCGCATGCGACGACAGTGAGGGTGTGAGAGACAGACCCAGGGAAGGTCTTCACACGAAAACACAACCCAGGACCCAAGACGCTCGATGCGAATTCTTTTCCCCGCGATGTCCACCCCGCCGCGCCGCCGCTCGCGCCACCTCGCCGCCGCCTCCACCGCCGCCCCCTGTTGGCGCCTCGCTTCACAGCTGCTCCTGTGTCTGGGAACATAACTTCGCGAGGGAGCGACGCGGAGTAGCTGGGGCTATACCAGGCAGCCGCGCCGAATTGGAAACTAGCGACCTTCCTCCGGCTTCTCTCACTGGCAGTCTCTCACTATCACGGGCACACTGACAGAGGCGGCCAAGGCTCACGCCGTGGGTGGCAGGGGCGGTGATAGGATATACACAGCTGTGTGAGCCGAGCTTTTTCTTCTTCGCCCCTCGCTGTGCGCGGCGCTCTCCGTCCGGCCCGACGCGGGATGCTCTTTCTTGGGCCCCTGGCCGGCCGCCCACTGGCCTTAAGGCATCTCGCGGCGACACCTCCATCGATGTGCCGCGCGCCGCTCCCCTGCCTCGCCGGTCCGAGCAGCGATGATGATGTGCCCGACCCAGACGACGAGATTGATTACGCCTTTCAGCGGAAGCGCCTCGCTTTCCTGGCGGACCTTAGGCTCGAGGATGCGACTGTACCGGCCGACGAAACTGTCGATGATGCAGCCACCACCGCCGAGGCGGAGTTGTGGGCCGCCGAAATGAATGTGTTGTCAGCGCAAGCCGAAAAGGTGCGCGCATCGGACCAGAGGGTGAAGCTCGCGATGGAGCTCAATGATGTGGTAAGACTGCGAAACTTGCATGGGCTGCTCTCGGCCGCGGTCGCCATAGCGGCGGCAATGCTCCTCATTCACGCCATGCCTGCGGTTGACGGTGTATCATGACACGGCGCTCCGTGCTGAGGCACAACGCTACTTACTGGCGCGCGGGGGTCTCTATCGTTCGCCGCGCCAGCGCTCTCGCTCCCTCTATGTGTGCGGTTGATGTGCCCTTGCGGCGCATTTTCCAGCTCGCGCGTGCTCGGTCTCACCTCGCCAGTAAGCACCTCGCTGCTTTGATTTCTTGGCCACGGCCACGAGAAAAAAACGACTTCGATGCGCTGCAGTGTGCAGAATGGACACAGCTTGATTGTTGATACCCGGTACGGCCAAACACGGCGGAACACATGTCCTCTCGAGCGCTAGTGTCTTCCGCTTCTAGGGCTGCCGGCCGCGAGTGCCCTCGCGCTGGCCGCCAGCGGGTGACGGGGCGAAGTGATGAGTGCTGCCCAACCCGCGAGCATGCCCCCTGTGCAGCACGTTTGACTGCGAGGCCTAGCAACAGGTTAGACGAGGAGGCGGTGAAGGCCTCAAAGGTTTGAGCCGCGCAGTGAGCGCCAGGGCCAAAATCAAAGCGGCAAAGAGCAGAACCACGGCTGCAGTCAGAGGCAACGGCGCAGGCACGGCAGCAGTTTCGGAGAAGATTTCGAACCCGATCATCGCCTTGAAGCGGGCCTCGACCTGCGGGCCAAGGCCTCCCGCCCAGAGCTCGCTCGTGAGGCTATGGTTCGGAGCTCGCGCCTCGCAATACGCCGCCATGTGCCGGAGGTGGAGGGGGCCTCCGACCCACGGTGCCAGCCCGACGCCGCCCGACGGGCGAAGGGCGGTGCCGTTGCACCAGCTTGACATGTGGAGCCGGTGCTCTGGCGTGTCGGGAATGATGGCCGGCAGTACGTAGCCCTCATCGGCCATGGTGATCGCGAGGACGGGCAAGCAGTCGAAACCAAAGTTTTCTTTTTTGAGAAAAACGTTGACGCTCTCTCGCATGACAAGCGATCCCACGACAGCGATTGTGGGGACCACAAATACAACAAAACTCACTGGGCACGGGACTGGCGCGAGCGCGCACTGACTGGCACTAACACTGACTGGCACTAATAAAGAAGTGATCTGTGATCTGTAAGGGTCCGCCCGACGGCGATGGCGGCTGCTGCTGCTGCTGCCGCTGCTTCTGCCGCTGCTGCCTCTTGTTGCGGTTGCTGCCATAGGCATAGCTGCTGCGGCCGCACCACCCGGCGAGGCCA